ATCCAGAATCCAAACACACATTTGCAATGCCATAAAGAATCTCGTATAAAATACATATAAGGCAGCTACAAAGGAAATAAGCACATTTCGATGTAAAAGCCTCTAAAGCCCTTGAGCCGTCGCCGGCTTCCAGAAGAAAGACTGCTAATAGAGCTTTTCCAGAGCTTTTACCGGGCGCGCTGAAACCCAATTCGTGATCCAATAACAAAAGACAACTATATTACCGACCGCTCGGACAAAGGCACCACCGTTTTATCCGAGATTGGATCATGTCGACGAGGGATCGCGGGGAGCGTCTCGTCTTTTTACATGGGAACATGGAATAGATATTCCAGGGAGTGAATATCCGACATAAATGTACCATTTTCGGTTTTATGCCGACATCAATAGTCTGGGCAGGAGGCATTTACTACTCGCTTTTTTTGAGTAATCAGCCGAACAAGCGTCTCCAATTCATCCAGTTAACGGAGTTTAATTAATTTATTAAACCCTGGAAAATGTTGACTTGTTTTAAATAGATTGATCGCTTTGAATACAAGATTTAATGATAATTTAAGCACTGGAAAACGTGAGAAATTGCATGAAAATTAAACATTGTCAAAGAAGTCGAAGCTGACATGACCATTGCAATGGTAGTAGAATACCGAACATCTGAGGAAGAAGCACATAATTGRAAATTATACASMAAAAACCAAAATTATCCACTAAGTCTGGAGRGTGTGAAGTACTGTGRARGCTGAACAATTAAAATCTMGAAAATACCAACATCAAGACAGATCAAAGATGGCAAAAAGAAACAGATAAATCMGGCCAACACTCAGAAATACGAGTTCTCAGAASAGACATGCGAGGCTACGAAATAGTTCAGATTCTTGTAGATCAATTGAAGCAGGCAAAGCCGAATTTTTCTGTAGACGAAACAGATGCAAACCGATTTTATTCACMGATGAAGCAAGTGTAGGTACGAAATCGAAGAAGTTTGCATGTTTAAAGTGTTTGAGTCTAGAATAAGGACGAAATTGTCGGTGAAAGATTGTGACTGAAAAATCGCCTAAATGGGCCAAAACTATCAATTATGTAAAATTTCAAGCATCCAGTGTGGTTTTCACTGGGCGCTTTGGATTTCTAGCTTTTCTGTGACAAAAATGATGTAAAATTCGAGACATTTTGAGAGAGTTGATATTTTTCCAAAAAATCGACCCTACTTGTAGAAATT